GGATGGCGGAGGGGAAGAAGGGCTGATGGTCCTCTAAGTCTCATGTTACCTCGTGGCTTCCCAGGGGGCAGAGCCACACCCCAGGCAGACGCAATGTGCTGGAGCAGGAGCTGGGTAATTCGGCGGTGAACAACATGGCTCCAATGAACTCCATCAGCTGCACGGTGCTGCAGTTCAAACCGGAATTGGTAATGCAAATCCAACACATCAAAGCCATGAGCATCAGCCAACAGGGCACTGTAGAAATTGGCTTCGATCACATCATAACGCAAACTCACATCCAGATATTGCAGCTGCATCCAAAACAGATAGCAAGTTAAACACAAGGAACAGAGACCACCCAGTCACTGGCCACACAAGTAGATAGGGTGGTAAAGGCGGCATACGGCATGCATACCGTTATTGGTTGGGGAGTTAAGTACAAGAGTCAAGATGTCATGTTGCAGCTTTATAAGACTTTGGTTAGGCCACATTTAGAGTATTTCATTCAGTTCTGGTGGTCACATTACAGGAAGGAAGTGGAGGCTTTGAAGAGGGTGTGGAAAAGATTCACCAGGATGCTGCCTGGATTAGAGGGTATGAGCTATAAGGAGAGGTTAGAAAAACTCAGGTTGTTTTCTCTGGTACAGTACAGGCTGAGGGGAGACTTGATAGAAGTCTATAAAATTAGATAGGTTTGATGCATAGATAGGATTGTCAGTCGTGATCTTTTTCCCAGAGTTGAAATGTCTAATACTAGGGGACATGTATTTATGGTGAGAGGGGGAAAAGTTTTTTTTTTAAAAACACAGAGTGGTAGGAGTCTGGAACATACTGCCAGGGATAGGAGTGGAATAGGCAGATATGGATATATTAAGGGGGTTTAAGGGACTTTCACAAAGGCACATGAATATGCAAGCAATGGAGGGATATGGACCAAGGGCAGGCAGAAGGGATTAGTTTCATTTGGTTATGTTCAGCACAGCATTGTGGGCCAAAGGGCCCGTTCTTGTGCTGTACAGTTCAAACGAATGGCCACAGCTACACAGCTATTTCTAACAAGCGTACCTCTGGTATCAGGAAACCACCTTTGATTTTCTCACCCAGTGGCATGGCCATGTTCCAGATCACAAGGCATTCTGGGAGAAGGACCTCTTTCAGCCTTGTGAAGAACTTGACCAGATTCTCTCGATATTGCTCAATGGAATTGGAGCCATACCTGCTGGTGGGGTTGGGGGGAAACGGGGTGCGGGGAATGTTGAGTGAGAAGAGACAGATGGGGTGGGGAAGAGGTGGTGGTGAAAGAGAGAGAGAGAAAAGTGAGACACTGAGTTGATACTAAGCTAAGGAGAACGTTGAATGGAGGATGATGCACAGCGACTTCGGAAGGACATTCACACATTAGCCAAAAATCTGTTACCACATAGTTCAAAATCTGTAAGTTTGTGTTATACGAAAATAGTCTGCTTTATTCAATGCTATCTTTATTTTACATAAATAACTTCTGTTTTATCGAACCTAAATCTTCAATGTTACTTATTTGTGTTTCAGCGAGCGATCACCTCAAAATAAATGCAATGAAGTGGGATTTCAGCCTGGGATCTGGCCTGCCCAGCAACAACTACAGCTGGGATTAGGTTTCTCTCTCTGCTATTGCAGGCCACGCCCCATACCCCTCTCCCAACCCCCACCCACCCCCACCCTTACCCCCACCCCACACCACATGACCCACCCCCACCCCACACCACATGACCCACACCCCACCAGCTCTCAGCTCCGTACCTGGAGATATCCCAGATACATGAGTTAACAATAAGGACATCAGGTTGTGGTTCTCTTTGGAAATCGGCTAAGATACTATCCATGTAGTCGGAGTAAATCCGTGTCAGAAAGTAAAAATGCAGGAGGTGAGTGGGACTGCGATACTGCCGAGCCTCGCGGTATTCCGTACTGTTAGTCAGCTTCCCACCTTCAACCAGCTGGTCACCCTCAAAGCTAGGCTCCCCCTTCAAACACAACATGCACAGTTAGTCACACCCTCACAACGAGGGAGAAAAACAACAATGTTGGAATGTTCCCCAGGACAGAAACTCTGGGCAATGACATCCCACAGAATGAAGTGACTTCTCCTCATCATGGTCTTAAAGGATTAGGCACTTATCCAGCCTCTGTAGGCTGTGTTTTAAGATTCCCCAACCAAGGAAAACACACAGTCTCAATGTCTACCCCATCAGGTCCCTTCACAGTCTGTTGGCTTCCAAGAGTTCAGTTCCTATTGTAAACTCCAGAGATCATCGTCCCCTCCACTGTCTGCAAAAGCATGACCAAATCTCACCAAACAAACCCAACGTTTACGAAGCCCTCATCCCAGGGACTTACTTAGGGTCAGTACGCCCTTCCATACCTAAGGAGAACAAAACTGTAGGCAGCATTCCAAGACATGGGTTCTACAAATCCTGGTAAAATTAAACGCAGACATCTTTACCCTTTTAGCCCAATCCTCTGGAACTAAAGACAGGGTGAAAATACAGAAACAGACCATTCAATCCTTCAGACCTGCTCCACTTTTCAACATGATCATGGCTGATCATTCAGCACTGTATCCTGCTGAGGTTGTTGACTTGCTCGCCAAGCTGGGCTTGTTCTCATTATGACGTTTCGTCACCATGCTAGGTAACATCATCAGTGAGGCCTCCGATGAACCATGACGATAGAGAAAATTATTGGAAAAGATTCTCAGGGACATGATCTCTACACATTTAGAAGGAAATAGACTGATTAGCGCTAGGCAGCACTGTTGTGTGAGGGTGGTCATGCCTCACGAACTGATTGAGGAGGTAATGAAGATGATTGAGGGGAAAGCAGTTGATGTTGTCTACATAGACTTCAGTAAAGCCTTTGACAAGGTCCCTCATGGCAGACCGGTACAAAAAGGTGAAGTCACATGGTATCGGGGTTTGCTGGCAAGATGGCTACAGACCTGGCTTAGTCACAGGAGACAGGGGGTAGCAGTGAAGGATGGTCTTCGGAATGTGACTGGTGGTGTTCCCCAGGGATCTGTGCTGGGATTTCTGCTGTTTGTGGTCTACATAAATGATTTGTAGGAAAATGTAGCTGGTCTAATTAGTAAATTTGCGGATAATACAAAGATTGATGGAATTGCAGTTAGTGAGGAGAATTATCAGAGGACACAGCAGGATATAGATCAGTTGGGGCATGGGCAGAAAAATGGCAGATAGTGTTTAATGCAGACTAATGTGAGGTGGTGCATTTTGGAAGGTCAAGTACAGGTGGAAGTTATATAGTGAATGGCAGAACCCTTAGGAGTATTGATATGCAGAGGGATCTGGGTGTGCAAGTCCCCAGATCACTGAAGGTGTCAGTACAGGTAGATAAGGTCCAGCTGGTTGATGTTTAAATTACTACAGGACCCATCGGCACAGGCTCGGTATTCTGGGGGATATCGCTATTAGGAAGGGACCAGCTAGTCCATGTGTCTCCCCCAGACCAGTTGATCCCTGGTCTGTACTGTACATGACAATGGTCCTGTATGAGCCACCACCATCACTGGGATCCATTTATTCCCAGATGTGTAATTCTGGGCCAACACATTTTCTTTGCAACACCACTGACCTTGAGGTTCCCACCTTTCTGACCATCTATCTTCTTTGGTTTCCCTCTACAATCCGTCTGGTCTCATCTGACCGCAGTGAGGAAAACAATGGTTCTCAGCTGGTAATTGAACATTAAGAATGTGACAAGTACTGGGTCATCATGTGTGATGTGTTCCTGAAAATGCTGAGAACTTGTTGAGTCACTATCCTAGCTGTGAGGCCTTTAAGACCAGCTTCAAGGTTTGTACAAGCCTCACCACCTCACTGTTTGTCACAGGGTGATATGGAGCTGACCTCACTCTGACTGAAATATTCCAGGTATTCCTCAAACTCTGCACCACAAACATTGTCACTCACACCTTGTTCAGGGTTCCCAAAGTTGGCAAATATTTTATCCAGTTGGTCTATCATTGATCCCGCAATATTGACTTCTTGGGATACTTGGGCATCCACACGCACTGGTAACACCCGACCCTCTCTAGGCCCCGTGCTATCAATGAGATTGTGTTGCCATAGTGATTGAGGCCATTCCCATGAGTGAAGGGGGTGACAATGGCTGCATATTCCTCACTAATGTGCTGGATCCCACTTTATCCTCAAGCTGGAAGTCCACAATTGGTCACTAAAAGTAGCTCCTGGCCATCTCCTCCATTTGCACCATATCGGGCTGCCCTTGGTGCCTTTGTTTGAGCACCTTTCCCCTTAATGGGGGAGGGATAACAACTCCCTTTGCCCACATTAAACACCCAACTAACAGGGGCAAAGGAGTAATCCTGAGTGTTCTCCATCACTGACCCTCCCTCTCAGGACTATATCCACCACTTGGCTCAGAACCAGGTCATTCTGTGTAATGTTCCACATGTGACTCACTGATTCCCTGGATGACATGGTGTTGGTATCAGCAAATCAGATTGGCGAACCAGGTGAAAGGTACATAATTCTCAGGTTCCAGTCAGGAACATCTTCATTCCCCGGTTACAGCACCCTCGACTGGGCACATGGATTGCCATGCTTCTCTGCCTCTCAGCATCTGGTCCCATATGGGGTAGGCTGATACAGCCAGTGCCCATCTCTGTAGGCATGCTGCCACCATTGACAGTATTCCCAATATACAGGCCAAAAATGGAGGTTAGTGGCCTATGGCCTGTCAGCAGCACCAAGTAAAGGAAATGGATGACCTTCTGAACATCAAACATGATGCTCAATCCTTCCTTTTCCACTTGAGCAGACTTCTCCTCCATCTTCATTCGTGACCTTGCTGTGAACACAATGGGCCTTTCCTCTCCATTCTGTTCTGTAAGACACGATAAGGGAAGGCATCTCACATCAACTTGCCAGAGGCAACTTTGGGTTGAAATGTATGAACACTTCCAACCTTTTTAGGGCTTGCTTCACCTCCCAATAAGCCTCCTGAACTTCCTGGGTCAGTTTCCAAGGTGCGGACTTTCCCAGCAGGGTTTCAGCACGGTTGTGAAATCAGAAATGGACTTGCCACAACAATGTACAAATCCTAAAAATAATCTCAGTTGAGACACATTCTGTGGTCTAGGGGTCTTCGTGAGAGCCTCCATTTTCTTGGACACCTTGTGCAGTCCCTAAGCATTGATTATGTGGCCCAGGTACTCTGTGGAGTCTTCAAAAACCCACATTTCTCCCTTTTTACTCGTAGGCCGTACCCTTGCAACCTCTTATTGGGTTTCTTCTCAGATTTTCATATGCTCTTCTTCAGACGATTCAGGAACTAAAATATCGTCTGGATAACACTGGACTCTTGGCAATTTGCTTAATATTTGTTCCATGGCTCTGTGCTGACATGATGCCAAAAGAGAGTTGGTTGTAGTGGAAGAGTCCCCGGTATACCATTACCTTCAGCAGCAGCTCCTTCATGAGGCCTGTGGCTAATCCAGTTTTGAGAATTTCTTCCCCCAGCCAGTCTACTGAACATGCATGGAAGTGGGTATTGATCCACACTCAGGGCTAGGGTGACTGTAACCTTAAGGTCACCACAAATCCTCATCGTACCATCTGTTTTTAAGACCAGAATGATGGGAGTGGCCCATTCACTGGTGATTACTCGTTTCAACACTCTCAGGTCCATCAGCCTTTCCAATTTACTCTCCACTTTAGGCTTTGATGATGTACAGTACCGGACACACCTTTAGAGTCCTTGGACTAGTCTCCCACTTTAACCAAAGTTTAATTTCTGCTCCTTTCATACCAACCCCACCCCCCATTCCCTTGAAGACATCCTTGTATCTGTCCAAAATCTCTTGCAAACTTCTTTTTGAGCCTGCTAGCCTATTAATGACACCCTAATTTAACTTCAAATTCTGTAACCAGGAGTATCCGAATAATACAGGGTAATTGCCTTTCACCACATACAGAGAAAATTCCACACAATGGTCCCTCAGCTGTACTTCCAGCAGTTCCGTGGCACCGCTTGTCCTGTGTATGTCTGTAGTATAATCTTATAGGGAGAGGTGATGGCCTAGCGGTATTATTGCTGGACTGTTAACCCAGAGACCCAGCTAACATTCTGGGGACCTGGGTTCGAATCCCATCACAGCAGATGGTGGAATTTGAATTCAATAAATATCTGGAATTAAGAATCTAATGATGACTGTGAACCCATTGCTGATTGTTGGGAAAAACCCATCAGGTTCATTAATGTCCTTTAGGGAAGGAAACTGCCATTCTTACCTGGTCTGGCCTACATGTGACTACAATGTGGTTGACTCTGGGCAATTAGGGATGGACAATAAATGCTGCCTGGCCAGTGATACCCTCATCCTATGAATGAATAAAAAAAAAAATCTAGGCATGTTTCAGTGGCAAGGCCTTTAACTTTTCCCAATATATTGATTCAGGAATCAGAGCTGCACCTGTTACACTTCTGCCTTTACTGTCTTACCCTCAAATTCAGGAAGAACCCAGAAACAATCAGCCTCACCCCACAGGGACACAATGTTTAACTGGAACTCTGCTGACACCCTGGGCCTTCTGTTTCTCCCACAGACCTGACAGACTCCTGGTCTACCCCCAACTTGGCAGCATGTACCTTGTGCCTTGTCTTCAGGGTTGTTCCTTTCTAGTTTCGGGCAATATGATCCACTCGCTTATACCTGTGGTACTGGGCTTCTCCAGTCCAACCTATTGACTCCTTGTGAGCACGGTTTCCTCATCAGCAGCATTCTCCTTTAAAAAGGTTTTGTTCCTGATGGTACTGGGGAAAACCAATCACAATGTCCTTAGACACTTTGTTCATCTTTACCTACATGTTAAAACATTTGGTCGACACAATCGGATCCTCAAACAGTCCCATTGCTCCGAGTTGGCCCACCATTTTGTTTTCTCACCACTGGGAATCTTTCCGGCTATCAACTCTAGTTGCCACTCTCAGCCCGAGTCCCCACAGTGCACACTCTCCCTGTCACCAGATCCCTTGCCAGCGGGTGTCAGTAACAGCAAAGTCCTTTGTCCCAACAAGAAAAAACAGCTTTCACACAGACTGTGGTCTGATCCCACTCTCATCATCAGTTGTTGCATTTGTGCTTCACTAGAACCAGAAATAAAACACAAGGTAGAGGGAGGTAAACTCAAACACGGAACACTTTATTGTTTCTTCTCTCAGCTGTACTGTCACTCTTAAACTGCCCCTCCATCTCCCACCTCTGAGTCACCTGACCCACTCTCTTAAAGTGCCGACACACAGCCAACTGAATACAACCGAGATGGTTCCAGAATCCCAACACACACAGCAGGCTCCTTGTTCAAATCAGAATCCTGCACTTGATGCCTGTGTCTCAGAACTGGGATGTTGACATGTTGAACTACCCATCATTGAAGGCTAGCTTTCTTGTAATTTATCAGAAAAGGTGACCAAAGCATCAATCTCAATGCACACTCACATGGCAGTACACAGATGGAGTACTGCTCAGAAAAGACACATTTTATCGCAGCTTTTCATCTTGTACTCATCAGGACATTTCAGAAGAATACCAATGAAGGGGAACACAACATTTATACAATATGGAAGGAAAAAAAAGACTGGGATTGTTTTCACTGGCTGAGAGGAGACCCGATAGAGGTCTACAAAATTATGAGGGGTACAGATAGGGTGGATACTCAGACGCTTTTTCCCAGGACTGAAGTTTCAATGACAAGGGGGAACAGGTTCAAGGTCAAAGGGGGAAAGTTTAAGGGAGATGTGCGAGGGAAGCTTTTCACACAAAGAATGGTAGGAGCCTGGAATGTACTGCCAGAAGAGGTGGTGGAAGCAAGCATGTTGTGACATTTAAGAGGCTATATGAATAGGGAGGGAATAGAGGGATACAGACCGAATAAAAGCAGTTTTGTTTTTTAGAATAGTTAGGGCACAATGATTGGCACAGTCTTGGAGGGCCAAAGGGCCTGTTCTGTGCTGTAATTCGCTTTTTTTTTGTTTGTCCTTTTGAGAGTGCTGAAGGGAAGTCTATGGAATTATCCAGGAACCCGTGTAATGTTCTGGGGACACAGATTCAAATTCTTCCATGACAGAATGTTGGAATTTGAATTCAATAAAGATCAAGGATTAAGATTATAATGATGACAATGAAACCATGGCCAATTGTTTAAAAAACCCGAAAGAACTGTGGATGTTGTAAATCAGAAACAAAAACAGAAGCTGCTGGAAAAGCTCAGCAGGTCAGAACTCAGTTTCTGAAGAAGGGTCACTAGTCTTCAGGTATGCCTGGTGCTGCTCCTGGCATGCCCTCCTGCACTCTCCATTGAACCAGGGTTGATTCCCTGGCTTGATGGTAATGGTTGAGTGGGGGATATGCCGGGCCATGAGGTTACAGATTGTGCTGGAGTACAATTCTGCTGCTGGTGATGGCCCACAGCCCCTCATGGATGCCCAGTCTTGTTTGCACAATGTTCAGCACCATTCATGACTCCTCAGATACTGAAGCAGTCCATGTTCACATACAACAAGATCTGGACAATATCCAGGCATGGGCTGACAAGTGGCAAGTGACATTTGCGCCACACAAATGCCAGGCTATGACCATCACCAATAAGAGACAATCTAACCACCGCCCCTTGACATTCAATGGTGTTACCATCACTGAATCCCCCCACTGTCAACATCCTGGGGGTTAGCATTGACCAGAAACTCAACTGGACTCACCACATTAACAGAGTGGCTACAAGAGCAGGCCAGAAGCTGGGAACACTGCAGCGAGTAACTCACCTCCTCACTCCTCAAAGCCTGTCCACCATCGACAAGGCACAAGTCAGGAGTGAGATGGAATACTCCCCACTTGCCTGGTTGAGTGCAGCCCCAATAACACTCAGGAAGCCCGACACCATCCAGGACAAAGCAGCCCGCTTGATTGGCACCTCCAAGATGGGGAGGCGATGGCCTAGTGGTA